CCAGGGTGTAGTAGGAACCCACATGCCAGGGTGTAGTTGGAACCCACACGCCAGGGTGTAGTAGGAACCCACATACCAGGGTGTAGTTGGAACCCACACGCCAGGGTGTAGTAGGAACTCACATGCCAGGGTGTAGTAGGAACTCACATGCCAGGGTGTAGTAGGAACCCACATACCAGGGTGTAGTAGGAACCCACACGCCAGGGTGTAGTAGGAACTCACATGCCAGGGTGTAGTAGGAACTCACATGCCAGGGTGTAGTTGGAACTCACACGCCAGGGTGTAGTAGGAACTCACATGCCAGGGTGTAGTAGGAACCCACATACCAGGGTGTAGTAGGAACCCACACACCAGGGTGTAGTAGGAACCCACATGCCAGGGTGTAGTAGGAACCCACACGCCAGGGTGTAGTTGGAACTCACACGCCAGGGTGTAGTAGGAACTCACATACCAGGGTGTAGTTGGAACCCACATACCAGGGTGTAGTAGGAACCCACACGCCAGGGTGTAGTAGGAACTCACATGCCAGGGTGTAGTTGGAACTCACATGCCAGGGTGTAGTTGGAACTCACATGCCAGGGTGTAGTTGGAACTCACATGCCAGGGTGTAGTTGGAACTCACATGCCAGGGTGTAGTAGGAACTCACATGCCAGGGTGTAGTAGGAACTCACATGCCAGGGTGTAGTTGGAACTCACATGCCAGGGTGTAGTAGGAACTCACATGCCAGGGTGTAGTAGGAACTCACATGCCAGGGTGTAGTAGGAACTCACATGCCAGGGTGTAGTTGGAACTCACATGCCAGGGTGTAGTAGGAACTCACATGCCAGGGTGTAGTTGGAACTCACATGCCAGGGTGTAGTAGGAACTCACATGCCAGGGTGTAGTAGGAACTCACATGCCAGGGTGTAGTTGGAACTCACATGCCAGGGTGTAGTTGGAACTCACATGCCAGGGTGTAGTAGGAACTCATATGCCAGGGTGTAGTTGGAACTCACATGCCAGGGTGTAGTAGGAACTCACATGCCAGGGTGTAGTTGGAACTCACACGCCAGGGTGTAGTAGGAACTCACATGCCAGGGTGTAGTAGGAACTCATATGCCAGGGTGTAGTTGGAACTCACATGCCAGGGTGTAGTAGGAACCCACACGCCAGGGTGTAGTTGGAACTCACACGCCAGGGTGTAGTAGGAACCCACACACCAGGGTGTAGTAGGAACCCACATGCCAGGGTGTAGTAGGAACCCACACGCCAGGGTGTAGTTGGAACCCACACGCCAGGGTGTAGTTGGAACTCACACGCCAGGGTGTAGTTGGAACTCACACGCCAGGGTGTAGTAGGAACCCACACGCCAGGGTGTAGTTGGAACCCACACGCCAGGGTGTAGTAGGAACCCACATGCCAGGGTGTAGTAGGAACCCACATGCCAGGGTGTAGTTGGAACCCACACGCCAGGGTGTAGTTGGAACCCACACGCCAGGGTGTAGTAGGAACCCACACGCCAGGGTGTAGTAGGAACCCACACGCCAGGGTTGTAGTAGGAACCCACACGCCAGGGTGTAGTTGGAACCCACACGCCAGGGTGTAGTTGGAACCCACACGCCAGGGTGTAGTAGGAACCCACACGCCAGGGTGTAGTAGGAACCCACACGCCAGGGTGTAGTAGGAACCCACACGCCAGGGTGTAGTAGGAACCCACACGCCAGGGTGTAGTAGGAACCCACACGCCAGGGTGTAGTTGGAACCCACACGCCAGGGTGTAGTTGGAACCCACACGCCAGGGTGTAGTAGGAACCCACACGCCAGGGTGTAGTAGGAACCCACACGCCAGGGTGTAGTAGGAACCCACACGCCAGGGTGTAGTTGGAACCCACACGCCAGGGTGTAGTTGGAACCCACACGCCAGGGTGTAGTAGGAACCCACACGCCAGGGTGTAGTTGGAACCCACACGCCAGGGTGTAGTTGGAACCCACACGCCAGGGTGTAGTAGGAACTCACATGCCAGGGTGTAGTAGGAACCCACACGCCAGGGTGTAGTAGGAACCCACATGCAAGGGTGTAGTAGGAACCCACATGCCAGGGTGTAGTAGGAACCCACACGCCAGGGTGTAGTTGGAACCCACACGCCAGGGTGTAGTAGGAACCCACATGCAAGGGTGTAGTAGGAACTCACATGCCAGGGTGTAGTAGGAACCCACACGCCAGGGTGTAGTAGGAACCCACACGCCAGGGTGTAGTTGGAACTCACATGCCAGGGTGTAGTAGGAACCCACACGCCAGGGTGTAGTTGGAACTCACACGCCAGGGTGTAGTAGGAACCCACACACCAGGGTGTAGTTGGAACCCACACGCCAGGGTGTAGTAGGAACCCACACGCCAGGGTGTAGTAGGAACCCACACGCCAGGGTGTAGTTGGAACTCACATGCCAGGGTGTAGTAGGAACCCACACGCCAGGGTGTAGTTGGAACCCACATGCCAGGGTTGTAGTAGGAACCCACACGCCAGGGTGTAGTTGGAACTCACACGCCAGGGTGTAGTTGGAACCCACACGCCAGGGTGTAGTTGGAACCCACACGCCAGGGTGTAGTAGGAACCCACACGCCAGGGTGTAGTAGGAACCCACACGCCAGGGTGTAGTAGGAACCCACACGCCAGGGTTGTAGTTGGAACTCACACGCCAGGGTGTAGTAGGAACCCACACGCCAGGGTGTAGTTGGAACTCACACGCCAGGGTGTAGTAGGAACCCACACGCCAGGGTGTAGTAGGAACCCACATGCCAGGGTGTAGTTGGAACTCACACGCCAGGGTGTAGTAGGAACCCACACGCCAGGGTGTAGTTGGAACTCACATGCCAGGGTGTAGTTGGAACCCACACGCCAGGGTGTAGTAGGAACCCACACGCCAGGGTGTAGTTGGAACTCACACGCCAGGGTGTAGTAGGAACCCACACGCCAGGGTGTAGTAGGAACCCACACGCCAGGGTGTAGTAGGAACCCACACGCCAGGGTGTAGTTGGAACTCACACGCCAGGGTGTAGTAGGAACCCACACGCCAGGGTGTAGTAGGAACTCACACGCCAGGGTGTAGTTGGAACTCACACGCCAGGGTGTAGTAGGAACCCACATGCCAGGGTGTAGTTGGAACCCACATGCCAGGGTGTAGTTGGAACTCACACGCCAGGGTGTAGTAGGAACCCACACGCCAGGGTGTAGTAGGAACCCACACGCCAGGGTGTAGTAGGAACCCACACGCCAGGGTGTAGTAGGAACCCACACGCCAGGGTGTAGTAGGAACCCACACGCCAGGGTGTAGTAGGAACCCACACGCCAGGGTGTAGTAGGAACCCACACGCCAGGGTGTAGTAGGAACCCACATGCCAGGGTGTAGTAGGAACCCACACGCCAGGGTGTAGTAGGAACCCACACGCCAGGGTGTAGTAGGAACCCACACGCCAGGGTGTAGTTGGAACTCACACGCCAGGGTGTAGTTGGAACCCACACGCCAGGGTGTAGTAGGAACCCACACGCCAGGGTGTAGTAGGAACCCACACGCCAGGGTGTAGTTGGAACTCACATGCCAGGGTGTAGTAGGAACCCACACGCCAGGGTGTAGTTGGAACCCACACGCCAGGGTGTAGTTGGAACCCACACGCCAGGGTGTAGTTGGAACTCACACGCCAGGGTGTAGTAGGAACCCACACGCCAGGGTGTAGTTGGAACTCACATGCCAGGGTGTAGTAGGAACCCACACGCCAGGGTGTAGTTGGAACCCACACGCCAGGGTGTAGTAGGAACCCACACGCCAGGGTGTAGTAGGAACCCACACGCCAGGGTGTAGTAGGAACCCACACGCCAGGGTGTAGTTGGAACTCACATGCCAGGGTGTAGTTGGAACTCACACGCCAGGGTGTAGTAGGAACCCACACGCCAGGGTGTAGTAGGAACCCACACGCCAGGGTGTAGTTGGAACTCACATGCCAGGGTGTAGTTGGAACCCACACGCCAGGGTGTAGTAGGAACCCACACGCCAGGGTGTAGTTGGAACCCACACGCCAGGGTGTAGTAGGAACCCACACGCCAGGGTGTAGTTGGAACCCACACGCCAGGGTGTAGTAGGAACCCACACGCCAGGGTGTAGTTGGAACTCACACGCCAGGGTGTAGTTGGAACCCACACGCCAGGGTGTAGTTGGAACTCACACGCCAGGGTGTAGTAGGAACCCACACGCCAGGGTGTAGTTGGAACTCACATGCCAGGGTGTAGTAGGAACCCACACGCCAGGGTGTAGTTGGAACTCACACGCCAGGGTGTAGTAGGAACCCACACGCCAGGGTGTAGTTGGAACCCACACGCCAGGGTGTAGTAGGAACCCACACGCCAGGGTGTAGTAGGAACCCACACGCCAGGGTGTAGTAGGAACCCACACGCCAGGGTGTAGTAGGAACCCACACGCCAGGGTGTAGTTGGAACCCACACGCCAGGGTGTAGTTTGAACTCACACGCCAGGGTGTAGTAGGAACCCACACGCCAGGGTGTAGTTTGAACCCACACGCCAGGGTGTAGTAGGAACTCACATGCCAGGGTGTAGTAGGAACCCACATGCCAGGGTGTAGTAGGAACCCACACGCCAGGGTGTAGTAGGAACCCACACGCCAGGGTGTAGTTGGAACCCACACGCCAGGGTGTAGTTGGAACCCACACGCCAGGGTGTAGTAGGAACCCACACGCCAGGGTGTAGTTGGAACTCACATACCAGGGTGTAGTTGGAACTCACATGCCAGGGTGTAGTTGGAACCCACACGCCAGGGTGTAGTTGGAACCCACATGCCAGGGTGTAGTAGGAACCCACACGCCAGGGTGTAGTAGGAACCCACACGCCAGGGTGTAGTTGGAACCCACATGCCAGGGTGTAGTTGGAACTCACATGCCAGGGTGTAGTTGGAACTCACATACCAGGGTGTAGTTGGAACTCACATGCCAGGGTGTAGTAGGAACTCACATGCCAGGGTGTAGTTTCGGAAGCAGCATCTGCAGGAGCGCGAGTGCATCCCCGCGGTGCCTGTGTTCAGCAACGACCACGACATCCTCACCACGTGCTCGACACGTGCTCTGCTCCAGGCGCGAGCTGGTTTAGGCCAGCAGTGAGTGGTGATGCAACTCTGGGCTGAGGGGGAAGGGCAGTACTTATATTATTAATTAATCCATTAGATTAATACATTTAACCGATTAACTTAATACATTAGCAGTACATCTAGCAACTCATTTACCTTGTGGAATTGAAACAATTCTTACCTGCTTGTGTTAAACAATGCTGCTTGAAATTACACAATGGTGCGTGTTGACGACGGAAAGTGTAAAAAAAACTATTCGGAGTTTGTTTTTCTTCTTGGTTTATTCGGTAAAGTCACGTAGAAGGGAGATAATAAAATTAAAACATAATAAAATATAATTCTCACGACGTTTCGGCCACAACGCAAGCAGCCGTCCTCAGGTGAAGAACAGGTCTGTCCGCTTATTTTATGGCCAGCTCAGATATTCTTTCGGGGACTCAATTCGCTACTTTAAGCTCTGAACATCAAGGGAAGTGAGATAGCTTCTATGAAGGTCAACAGCGTGCTGTGTTAGTGGTCGTGTAAGCAGCATCACAGCCGTCTTTGCCTCCCGAGTCCACAGCGAACTGGGTACTCATTTAAGGCCGAGCTGACCTAAGGGAGGCCCCCAGAAATGGTTCAGATTCGAGTTTCCGCCGATTCTCCCCGTCAGAAATGTAATTCCCTTCAGGCATCTTCACGTTGCGTCTCAACGAGACTCTACGGTCTATGCACCTGAACTCAAGGCGTGTCTGTAAGCGCCACTGCCTTACACGAGACTTTAGTTGTTCATTTTGCCGTCGTCTGCTCCTTTTACGGATGTAGCAAGTAAAACAACGTTTACTGTGTTGAACTTCTTTCGACGTGGCCAACGGTGCTAATCGGAGTGTACGGAGCAAGACGCACGCGCATGCAGACTGCTATAAACAGTTCAACGCGGAGGCTTTCGCGACCAATATCATACATAATACAGGTTTTGTGGGTTATATCGCGTACATTTTTACCCCCAAAAAACTGTATTACACGCGATCTAAGCAAAACTGTATTGTGCTATAACCCTGTAATGTGCTATAAACAATTACCTTTATTTTCCTGTTCGGGAAATGACGATACAGCACAGAAAACGACGAGCACGCGTCTACTACCGCGTGTGCAGGCGGTGCAACTGCACGGGCCCACACGAGCGGGGAGCGGCTGCAGTGCCACGCCACGTGGTGGAGACATTGGCAGGCTCCATTTTATTGTTTATTGCACCAGGCCCAGAGACCCTTACAGATAGCAAGTGACTCGCACACAGAGCCACAAGAGACCCTTGCAGATAGCCAGCGACTCGCACACAGAGCCACAAGAGACCCTTGCAGATAGCCAGCGACTCGCACACAGAGCCACAAGAGACCCTTGCAGATAGCCAGCGACTCGCACACAGAGCCACAAGAGACCCTTGCAGATAGCCAGCGACTCGCACACAGAGCCACAAGAGACCCTTGCAGATAGCCAGCGACTCGCACACAGAGCCACAAGAGACCCTTGCAGATAGCCAGCGACTCGCACACAGAGCCACAAGAGACCCTTGCAGATAGCCAGCGACTCGCACACAGAGCCACAAGAGACCCTTGCAGATAGCCAGCGACTCGCACACAGAGCCACAAGAGACCCTTGCAGATAGCCAGCGACTCGCACACAGAGCCACAAGAGACCCTTGCAGATAGCCAGCGACTCGCACACAGAGCCACAAGAGACCCTTCCAGATAGCCAGCGACTCGCACACAGAGCCACAAGAGACCCTTGCAGATAGCCAGCGACTCGCACACAGAGCCACAAGAGACCCTTGCAGATAGCCAGCGACTCGCACACAGAGCCACAAGAGACCCTTGCAGATAGCCAGCGACTCGCACACAGAGCCACAAGAGACCCTTGCAGATAGCCAGCGACTCGCACACAGAGCCACAAGAGACCCTTGCAGATAGCCAGCGACTCGCACACAGAGCCACAAGAGACCCTTGCAGATAGCCAGCGACTCGCACACAGAGCCACAAGAGACCCTTGCAGATAGCCAGCGACTCGCACACAGAGCCACAAGAGACCCTTCCAGATAGCCAGCGACTCGCACACAGAGCCACAAGAGACCCTTGCAGATAGCCAGCGACTCGCACACAGAGCCACAAGAGACCCTTGCAGATAGCCAGCGACTCGCACACAGAGCCACAAGAGACCGACAGACGCTGGACTCGAGAGTCCCAAGACTCACGCGGCAGCGACTCCGTGAGCGGGGGCGGCGGCGCGAGACCGCGTGCCCTGGGTGACACCACGTGGTGCTGACACCACGTGCTGAGTGCCGAGTCACGTGAGGCGGGCGGCCATCTTGCCTGGGGACAGTGCTGCACTGTAATAGCGGGGGAGCGGTGGTGCACCGGTTAGCGCGGTGCTGTGCGACGAAGCCGGCGACCGATTGCCCGAGTGACGATTATTGTAAACGGTCCTGGGCCCCCCTAGGTCGACTCAGACTCAAATGAGTGCCCAGTGCTGTTTAAACATCGCCACTAGGGAGACAAAGGTGGCCGGGCGTGGTGTTGGTCACCCACTTCCTCGTGTGCCGTGCCGGCCTGTATAGGCGCTCGCTCACACCACTTGCCCCAACAGTCTGTGGAAGCCTATACGGGGGACCTTTGTCTTTGTTGTCTGGTGGCGAGTGCGCGCGTGCTCGACACGGACGCCGAGGTCGCGCGCGTGCACCGCGCCCGCACGTGACAGCAGCAACAACTATACGCCTCAAAATAGACAGAGTATCGACACAGTGGTGCGATGTTAGTGGTGTGTTTATGATTGCATGATGATGGTGTATACTCTTCTTGGTTATTTCGGTAAAGTCACGTAGAAGGGAAATAATAAAATAATAAACATACAACAATAAAATACAATTCTCACGACGTTTCGGTCCAAAACACAAGCAGCCGTCCTCAGGTGAAGAAACAGCTGTCGGAAAGACAGCGCTCCAATGAACTCTGCTAAGCTTGGCAGCGTATTTAAGCTGGGTGGGAGGAGCAGAGCGCCTTGACAAAGGAGTTTACATATCAACAGGGGAATTTAGCATAGAAGTAGCTATGATAATGTGAGAGATTAGCATGATGGAAAGTGAGAAATTAGCATGTAACTGGGAGATTCGTATGATGTTAATGTGAGTAATTAGCATGTAACTGGTCACGGAAGTGGCTATGTTAAAGTCAGAGTTTACATATCAACAGAGGAATTTAGTATATTGACGTTAAAGAACTGCAACTACCCAACTATCAGTGGCGGCTCGTCAATAGAGGGCGCAGGGGCGCCGCCCCCATCAATATTCCAGAAATATACATATACAAAATTTATATAAAAATACATAAATAAAATATTTTTTTCATACGATGTGCCGGCTGGTAGTAAGAAAAGCATCAGCATTTAATAAAAACTGGCTTTAATCGGTCAACTATTTTCTATGTTTTTCAATGTGTTTTATGCGGGGCGCCGGACAAATGGATGTCTATGTGAGACTTTACATTTTCGGACAGCATGTGACCTGAAGCTGGTCTCTAATTGGTTTCTTAAAGATTCTCCTCGGGGCGCAAGTCGTTGCGTCCCTGGCCAATCAGAATTGGATACATGTTATTTTATCCAATCTGATTGGTTCTCGTCACCTGTCATTCAAATTTACGCTGTAGGCCACTACTGCGAGTGCGAAGGCGACACCACTTTGACACTTGCTAGGCTGATCAAATTTTTTGTGTAAACAATGGCAGCAGTTCATCCAAATTCTGTAATTTATTTACAAAAAAACCCTTTCACAAGGCTTTCGCTGGAAGAAATAAAAAAGATAAAGGATCTCGGACCGGACCAACCCGATTTACAAATCCAGCAGCAGGCCAGTGACAGAGGACGAAGCTACACACGAAGCTTCACCCGCGCTTGTTATGAGAAACGGAGGTGGCTGGCTGGATGTGATGTTAGCAATTCTCTTTTTTGTTTTCCCTGTCTTTTATTTCAAAGTGTCGGCACTGAAGTTTTGTGGACAACGACGGGGGTAAGAGACCTCAAACATCTCTCTGACAAATGCAAACGTCATGAAAGTAGCCGCAGCCATATTGATAATAGCATGAAACTAACGTTTTTATGTTCAAGTAGGAAACATGCTTTTTGGTACTTTGGTCTGAAATGTATATAAAAGAGAAACATTTATGTTCAAGTAGGAAACATGCTTTTTGGTACTTTGGTCTGAAATGTATATAAAAAAGAAACATTTATGTTCAAGTAGGAAACATGCTTTTTGGTACTTCTTTTGGTCTGAAATGTAAATAAAGATCATCAAAATTTATATTCAAGTAGTCAAAATGGCTTTTGGTACTGCTTTATATTTATTTGCCCCCCTCAATAAAATTTAAAAAATGCGCCCCCCCAAAAATAAATATCACCAGCCGCCACTGCCAACTATCATACAATAAACCGATGTGAAGGAACTAAATATAAACTACATCAATATAATCAATGTACTCAATATACTCTCCAATAAGCTGAGCTATTAACATTAAGTAACTGGGTATACACTACACTATATGACTACCATATAGTGAACCGATAAAAATGGCAGTCATAATGTGCATACATTATGATAATTAGGAAGGTGTGTTATGCAAATTATACGATTATGCTAAGGCATGCCGTTATGATAACTAGGCTCTGCCTCGTTGTCTAGGGTCGTATTATCTATCGGGATAATACAATGAATTGTATGAAGTTATACAAGTGTGATGTAATTGTGCGACATAAAGCTCGGCTTTGTTGTCTAGGGCTGTATTATCAAGCAGGATAATACAATTATTTTCGCTTTAACGTTTACTGATTATATCTTAGTATTTTTAAGTCAGGTCTCCAAATTCAAATCTCACCGCAGGATACAGTTCTCAATTAATATTAGTATACATGAACTTAGGAAGGCACCACTCAGACACTTCTGTGTTAAGCAACTTTAATCTCTAATAAAAAAAAACCCATAGCATTCTAATATGCGAACTCTTATTCTTGGAATTGTCAACACAGTACTCCTGGAGATGTTCTCCTCATTGATCCGTACATTTAACCCTCAATGATTACGTTTGTTAAACTGGGTAACAGAACAATCGGTTAATTCCTCAGTGTAAAGGCGAGCATATACGACGATAAGAAAAAGTCCTTAACAATGAATGTGACGATATCCAT